CCAAGCCAAGAAGAAAAAGTGCCGTCGCAGCACTGGGTCTCAAACGAACAACTTCATCACCCTCAGCAGCGAGTTCAAAGAGGCGGTCGCTACCGAACGACACTACCACTCCCTTTGATGATGACGAGGAACTAGATGATACCGGTGTGATAGCCTCTCTTTCCGATGACCTAAACTTTCGCGATGTCCCACAGTACATGGAGTACATCCGCAATAGGATGTTTAGCGACATGCCAGAGAAGGCTGGCATGAACTCGACAAGGATAGCAGAGGGTTTGAATTTTCGGAGAAGATTGCCACCGTTTGTCACGGTAGCGCATATCGACGCACTCAGCACCTCGTCAACGCGAATTGAGCGAGAAGTCGCTGAGCTAGCGAGAGCAGGTATCCTGAGAAAGGTGACGATACCGAATCGGGGGGTTGGTGCTGCTGCAGTGGGCGATGGTATTGCTTCGGTGAGAGAGTGGCGGAACCTCGTGCAATCTCATGCTGAGCTACCTGAAGATCTGAAAGGTAATTAAATTCACCGACCACTATATCACCTGTCATTAACGTAGAATCAGAAAAATACATCACAGCCATGAACGCCAACCCGACATCTACATCCATCCCTGGCACAACCTTCACCTCTCCCCAGCTATCCGCCCTAGTAACCTTTGGCTTCCTCACCTCAGCCTCAAGCTACCCTTCCAACACCTCGCTTTTCGCCTCTACAGGCGCCAGCTCACTCCTCGCCGTCTCCACATCCGGATCCCGCCACGCAGCCGGTTCTCTAGACGCCGTCGGCGGCACGCAAGCAACCCAGCACATCCACGGCGGCACTTCATTATCCGGATCTCGCCCGTCCGTAGCAGCACAGTACAACTTCTCTCTGCCTAATATGGGCACACACATTAAGCTGCTGGTTGATGCACGGAACCACCTACTCACTCTGCTGAAGAAGACAAAGCATAGAGAGATGCCACTAGATGTTCTGCGCGAGAGATGGGACGGTAATGTCGCGGCGTATGATATCAAAGCGGAGAGGAAGAAGTTGAGGGGCGAGTTTGCAGGCGTACTACCTGGGCGAACGAAGAAATGGAAGACATTCTATGGAATGAGATTTGAGTGGGTCTTGGAGGAATGTCTAGGTGCTGGCTTAGTTGAACTCTTTGAGACCGGTAGCGTTGGTAGAGCTGTGCGAGCGATATCTTGACTTGCACTCGCTTTCTCATGTTGTTTCGCAGCCAGACCTGCTGCACGTCCAATCGTTATCAGCTCAGGTGGACTCAAGGATCGACATCCCACATTCCTCCACGCGTACGACCCAACGTCGATCAGTATACTTGAAACATAAAGTGGGACTGATGACGCATACCAACACACCGTTAAGCGCAAGGAATGCCAGCATCAGTTTGGTCAATTATTCATTTCTTTGTACGATGCTGCACTAAACTGCTCTGCTATCTGCAATTTGTCTTGGTACATGTTTGATACCAAAGGTGCCGACCTCCATCCTGCGTGATATGCTTCATAAACTCCTAACCCCTGCTGCACTGATGTAGCCTCATCGCGTGAGCATGACAATCTGGTTTCGTTCATTCATCGTGACCGGACGCCTGAACTGATGGAACATGAGATACGAGTTCGATATAATCAGGTGAAGACGCCATAAAGTCCACGTCGTGGAATGCAATCTGCCCAAGTTGGCAGAGAAAGACGTTGGTAGAACGATCGTAGTGCATGCTTCCAGTAGTGATAGTTGCACATGACGATGCTTTCCGAGTTATGATGGTGCCAGATGCAGTAATCGCCGTTACGTGCCTGGTTTCCACGAAAGCTGTCTTTATAATCCTTCGATCGCTCATGGCCATGAGCGATACGAAGGCCTGGTATAAGGTTGTTCTGGAGTATGAAAGGTTCCGTTTCGTAGGCGGTAGAGTACTGATACACGATTGTGAAGGAGTCTGACGTCTCATCTATGAGGTAGATATCCTATAGATCGCGGAGATTAGCCACTACAAAGCAAGAATGTGAACGGTATCACCTACCGGAGATCGAAATGTCAAGTCACGTAGAGAAGCTAGTCCATGTAGAAATCGCCCTTGAGGATCCGCTCCTGCATGGCATCAGGCACCCTAGGCTTGGGCATCTCACGAACGGGTGGCTCCATGATCGTAACGCTCTTAGCACGCTGGTGCGTCGGACCGGAAGGGCTCAGCATGGGAGGGGGCCCGGAGATGGAGCCTCGCTCGGCTCGCGATCGGAGGTTCTCAGCGAAATTGTAACCTTCGCCTGTTGAAGACGACGTTAGCGAGTAGTTTCCAAGTATGTTCTCGGACTGCTCTGCAATGGTGGGGGGCCAGATGTGTGATATGGAAGTAGATCGCCGCGAGTGTGCATGGGTAAAGGGACGAAGCAGGGTAGCGGAAGAGGGCAATGACTGTGACAATGAAGACAGACCTCGACCTCGACCAGTCGGGGGAGAGGAAGCTTTATGGATGGGTGGTCTACCATTTGGGTTCCCAACGCCTCCGTTGCTCTGCCTGACATCCCGCATTGCACGAGCTCCGAAGCTCAGCCGTCGAGCAAAGGGTGTGGCTGGGTTGCTGCTGCTAGCAGATGTGGAAGGGGCGTAGTCATCTTCGAAGGGGCTCTCGTCGACCGAGCCAGAGTTGGCGCTGGAGATGCTCTCGGTTCGGGTTCGCGGGGTCTGGAGGAATGGGGACGTCTGGCCAGGTGAAGCACCCAGACCGATGGTGGTGAGCGAAAGCCGCCGTCTCTGAGCGTTGGCAGCAGCTGTCGTGATGGGGCCCGTGGCAGCCTGTCCTCCGGATTGCTGGCCTACATAGCCGCTTGACCGGCCGAACAGGTCCTGGAACGTCTGGCTGGTCACTGAAGCACGTCGGCGAGGGTCCGGCGAGGCGAGCGGGGGAGAGTTCCGGCCGTTGGAGGACATGATGGGCGTGGCAACGAGGTTTGAGGGAGGTTCAGGGTCTGTGTGAAGTGCTCAATTGAGTTGAGGGGTCATGCGCGTAGAGCAAATCAAGATGGGGTGCGTAGAGAAACAAAACAAGGGGTGGGATGGTTGATAAGTCGCTAGGCGCACGGACGGGGTGTAGTACGTCAGTCAGCGGGGGTTGATGGCGTGATAAGCGATTTACGTTGGCCGCAGGGAAACCGCGTAGTATAGGATAGACTAGCAGAACACGTGTCCGATGTTGCAACAAGACAAGAGAAGAAGGTCGAAAAGAAGAGGAGCAGGAATGATAGACAGGAGAGTAATATGGAAGCAACACTGGGTGGCTTGGCTGCGCTTGCCAAAGGATGCCCATCTGCGCTAGGGCCGCGGGCGGCTTAGCGTCAATCCCTTCCCCGCAGAACGTGGATGCACGATGCGTGGCCCTTTCATCTGACATCCAACCACATTCGAGGGCAACTCGAGCCTAGCCGCTGCACTCCCCGCAGTCGAGCCCTTTGACCCACCCTCAGTGCCCACAACGACTATCGCGATCAGCACCGACACGGTAAGTTCCTAGCTAGCATGAGCTTGGTATGAGCTATCTCGCCACCTGGGTGCTTCACATGTTTGAGTCTATGTGTACATAGTCATGGCACTTGCTCTGCACAGATCGAACCGACGGCGCCTACATCATGTCCGCATCTGTTCGGAATCTTCCCGGAGCGGGTGTCTGCTACATGCAACCGCCTTCTGTGGGGTGCCGGGTCCTGGATGCAGGTCCAGGTTGTGCGGAGCCTGCGGAACTTCTGACAAAAGCAGCCTCCATAAGACGTCGCATACTGCGGGGAATATACAGTAAGCGTCATATGCGCCATTCCAGTGAGCGCGAGCAGAAGGGGAAGGTTTGTCGCTAGTTTGTGGATTTCTTGATTCCCACACCGGAGCAACACCCACTATCTCGAAGCCCAAATGCACGCAACATGAACGACACCCACTTGGGCCACATCGTGTGTAGGCCAGATGGGTTCCACGAACTTAGCGTTTGGATAAGCGGCCAGTTACACGTATAGATGACAGGGTCGTTGTACGACATGTAACTGGGCCATGCATGATTGGCTGCTGTGGACCTCCGGTGCCGACCTGTTGTCTTGTATGCGACAAGATGCAGACTCCCGACATCCCCACCGAGATGAAGCTTGGTCTAGCACTTAGTATTATAGATACATGTATCTCATGGTGCATGGGGACAGTCTGTCTCCTGCGCTTGACGAAGCGCGAGAGCCTACAGCATGCGAAGCTCAGCTACGAACTGCGCCAGATCCACTTCGTTCGGTCCGGTCTCGTCTTGAGTCAGTCAGCCGTCGGCCACGCTCCCAATTCCGCGGAATCTTTCTACATATCGGAGCTTGGCACTGTATGCATGCGGAGCCGGTATCAGCTGGGGCCTGCAGTCTAGGGGGCGCACTCCACCGCTTTTGTGTTTACTATGCTAAAACCAATCACGCATTGACCTTTCGATTTCAGTGAGCTCGTTCTACTTCGCACTATGCGGACGATGATGGATTTGCAGCGTACGGCGCCAACGATGGACCGCTGTATAAATGTGTTTGTGTAAATTATGGATACAAGGAGTGTAGAGAAGAGAAAGTGGTACACCAATTGTACCCGGCTAAAAGTACGGCAACATCAAAAGCTCCGCAAGCAACCGGTCAAAGAAAAGGCAACGGAAAGAATCGGAGATATATATAATCATTCGGTTACCCAAAAACCGAAATCGGGTGGCCTGAAGGAAAGACAGAAAACAACATAACAAAGGCCAGCGAATACAGACCGAAGTCCGGCGACCTTGAGTATCCAAATGAAGAATTCAACTAGCGTGCGGACAGCCGTAACGTCGTAAGGAAAGACATGAAGGTATTAAAAGGTGCAAAAAGTCACAGAGAAAGGAATGGAAAAAGTGCAAAAAGCCGCCAACGCCAGACCAAAGGGAAAAGTGGGACGACTACATACCAACTCAACTGTTGTGTCGAGCACGAGGTAGTCCGATTGCAGAACGACATTACTGCATTGCTCGCTTCGATTCTCGTTCGTGTACCTCCGAACCCGACCTCTTACGATTCTCGTAGACGACATTGCGGAAGAGAGCCATGTAATGAGTGGGCGCATGAGAATCTGTTAGCTTGCGTTCGATGTCTTGTAGCATTGCCCAGTGGTTACGGTATACGTCTTCTTGGGGCAAGAACCCGAGTGCAGCGAGAACAAATGGCGGGTCGTCATCTGATGCTGCTCCAATCAGCGCAACGTATAGGTTGCTTTGAACAGGGTCTGATAGGGCCTCCATCACACTCCACTTGACGCCTTCATATGCATTTTTATCGCGGTCCGTAACACGGTCGAGAATCGTAACAAGAGCCGCCGCTGCTCGGACGGCCACGTCCTCAACGTCAGCATGGCGATGATAGAAGTCATCAATGGCTTTGACTAGTGATGTCAACTTCTGTGCACAACTGGAGACGTCGAACCGAGGGGGGCCTTGAGAGAGGTTGTATGGTCCCTTGGCTATGTATTCATCCAAAGCGTCGAAGGTGGAAGTAATGCGCTTGTCGATCTTTTCGAAGAAGACACGGCTTTCGAAGTCCGGGTCGATGATCTTGCGCATTTGGAGATATAGGCTGGGATACCAGTTTGCGTACTGCGTAAAGAGCTCTGTCAACTCCTGGTACTTCTTGGATCGTTCGGAAGTAAGAGGCGACTCGGGATGTCGAAACTCTCCAGGAAGTGCATCTTGTGGCTCGTAGCACGAAAACATGTCAATGACTGTCTTCTTCAAGTCGTCGTCTTCAGGCAGATTGTCATCCCGATAAACCCACTTCAGGTCGTTGGCGATATTGGCTAAGCCTTTGGTGTCCAGTAGTTCCGCAGGCTTGACGTCTTCGATCTTCGAGCCATCGGGAGAAAGATGAAGAGGCGTCTTGACCATATCGTCTGGAGAAGTTGAGATGATCTGGTCTCCGACCCAATAGATATGCTGGGGCTACTTTTAGTGATGCGTCAATGGTTGTGTATGCGAGAGCGTACCTTGCACGCGAGACCTTTTTCGTTTGCGCCACACGTACACTCAGGTCTTCGTAACTTCCCACCCATCGCCACAATGATGTCGTCGTCAAGATGGAAGAACTTCTTTGGGCTGCCATTCGGGCTATAATCATCTTCCGAGACTGCGCAGTACTTGAGCCTGATATCGCTACCTTCCAGTCCTCTTTTGGCCCGCCTTCGTAGGTCGGTGTCGAAGGCCGAGACATTGTAATGAAGGTTCTTCGTTGATATAACCAGGGAAGGCGTAGGGGAAACGGTGGACTCGACGGATGGTATGGGCTGATCTTCCTCAGAATGCCCCGATGATTGTGTACTAGCTCTTGCGGCCCTTGCGGCCCCGGCACGAGTGGTAACCATATCCTCTCCGAGAGAGAGCTTTGAGAATTGCTCTGCTGACATGGAGAATCTTCGTTATGGGGTACTTTCATACTAAAAGTCCAGTAAGGAGCTATATATCAAACCAACTCCCCCAGCTCCACGCCACCATCTTAGTTGATCCATCGTGTAGGCAGAGCATGTCCTCCATCTCACGACGGCGCTTAACGAGTAGGCCTTCCGTGCCGTAAGGCATTCGTACGTGTGAAGCGGATGTGGCTTGCTCGGGGAGAACCGAAAGTAGGGCAGGAAATCTGTCAACGCCGCAGTACTGCCTGGCTTACTAGAGCGAGTGCGGTAGGGTGACCACGGACATTTGCCGCGATTCCGTGCACGTTGGTGTCTTTATCGCGTCAATCATCTGCTTTTGGCCAGCATAACTGTCATAATACCCACTTGTTCACGAGCATTCCTCGTTGTGCACCAATGACATTGCATCGGTAGACCGAATGCCCAGTCTGCTTGAGGCGAAGCGATGAAAGCTTTAACCCGACGCGGTTAAATTAGGGGCGGCCGACGATCAAGGAATTGCCTTCTCCAGAGAATTATCTCGTTTTGCCGCCGGACCTTAATCTCAGAAATGCCGCTAAATGGTCAAGCTCAGCTATCGCAGGCTGAGTCGCAGTGATAATGCAAGGCACGGCGTTGGCGCACCGCAGCGGAGGCGAGGCTCGTGATCCAGCTTGCAGCAGGAATGCTACTTCCCATGCAAACCCGAATCCGTGCCGACACGCTGTACACGAGAAGCTTCGCTGCCAGGGATAATTAACGTAATAGCAAGCCTGGTGAACTTGCTCAAGTCGTAGGCAGCATCGGTCCGTAGTGGTGGAGTAGCGAGAACTGACGTTACTCAGCCATGATGTACGGCGCGCGCGAACCCTGTAACTACCAGTCAATATCTGGACCTCGAACCGTTATAAGGCTGACTGGAATGAAAGGAGTAATACGCTTCGAGTTAAGCTTCTGACCGCATAAACATCTATTTCATGCGTGGCACATTCTGATGATGTCCACTTTGTTGAGGATGCCTTGGGCCGCGCATCAACGACCTAGGTAGCCAGGTAGCGCTCGAGACTGTGTTACACCGACGTAATTCACTAGCAGTAGCGACGGCTTTGGGGGCTGTGGAAATGCCTAGGTGTCGAGCGCGTGCCATCGCTGGTGGATGCATCGTGTGCATCCATCATGGTTCCGAGGGTTGAGGGTCAGGTCGCGTCGCGAAGCCCGCCTGGCACCCACAGCCTCACCGTTCGCGCAGCGGGCTATGACGAGGGCGTGAACTCTGCCATGCGATCACAAGCTCCATGTCTTCAGGATGGCTTTCGGGAATATTTTTAATCGATGGGGCGCCGCTTGCATGAGCCATGGACGCGTCCATTCAGCAGTTTCGACTAACCGCCGTGCGAGTGCAAGAGACGGAACGGCCCCGGACGAGCAACAACGAAGGTCTAACAGGTACGAGGTGTTGTCACAGATTGAGACAAGCCCCCAAATTCGAGCGGCGCAGTGTGTTCATGCTTGGAGTGGGTGAATGTTTGCGAGGCGTGGATATCTGCAACGGCTTCCAGCTGTTGTGTTAGGTCATGGCGTGACGGCGTGGATCCCAGGCACAACACTCGGGATCCGCGCTAGCAGCCTGGGGATCCACCACACGGGACCGGCTCCGATCAGAACTTGTTGGAAGCATCGATTGTTGCTGCCTCGCCCAAATTAACGCGATGTATCATGCAGATGGGGCCATCTCCGTGCGATGGAGAACATCTAGGTAGCAGGCAGGCACGGACGGCAGGCTGCGATACTGTGGTAGTCGACCTCACGCGTCACCACAACAGAAGATCGAAGCTGAAGGATTTAAGGTGCAGCAGGCCTGCAGCACGGGTTTGTTGGTATATGAGTCTAGTCACAAGCGACCTAGTCTTCTGTGCCATCAATGCAGCACAGAAGCAGCTAGACCCACTCACGCGGGGTCCAAAGCTGACATCTGCTCAAGCACCGAGGACACGCATCACATACCATCCACACCATCACGCATATTGTCGTTACTCAATACACTGTTCGCATCTCTTCGTCGAATTAGAGCTATTCATTGCAACCGAGCGGCAATTATGTCTCAGCCCACGGCACCCTCTATACCTGCATTCTATCGCATATTCTTTACATACCTCGACCCCATCATCTGCGCTTGGGGCGCAACCATGGACTTCTTCATGCCCACTGTCGTCCTCTCTTCACACATCCCCTCCCCCAACCCAGACATCGGCCACGCCATGATCCTCAAGCAACGTGGCGGGGGCATGCTAAATTTCGGAATCATATCTGCTGTCCTGCTACGATACACAAACGACATGAACGTCTGGCGTATTGTCCAGTTGTCGTGCTTCGTTGTCGATCTGGCGTACTATTGGGCAGTCTGGGAGGTGTTGGCAAAGCAGGGCAGACTAAGCGTAGGCACCTGGCGGGCGGAGGATTGGGGAAGTATAGGCATTACGGCGTTTGCAGGGCTGGTCAGACTAGCATTCATGGCAGGGGTGGGATTTGGCGAAGCCTCAAGGAATGACAAGAAAGACTTGTAGGCCTTGAAGAAAAAGTCCTACTATAAGTCTCACTACGAGCGTATGAGCGCAAAAGAGTTGTTCGGTGCGAGATCACATTTTGTTCCGCTTGTCTGCTCATCATTGCCAGTCGCGATCCGTGGTGTTGAGATCATTGCTGGGCTGTGCTCTGCGTTTACAGCTATATCACCCCAGGACCCAGCGCGAGCCACTCGGCTATGTCTTGCCAGCCGTGTGCTACACTCGGTACTGACTCTTGAAGCCTTTGCAGCTCAGCTGCGAGCATGACTGCCTGTCTTGATCCGATCCTCAATGCAACAAAATGGAGAATGCCAATGACCCATTGCCGCATTTGATGCGAAATAAGCAGACACGTACCCACTGCATACAGTGGCTGGACGAGCTGCATTAGTCTCGGTGAGATGACTGAATCGATAAATGTCCCCGGTTCTCTCATGATAGGTCCATCTTTTGTTTCATCTTCGGGGGCCAATCCAGCAGCAGAGAACACCGGGGATGGCACCATGCCGATGGTCTGGGGTACTGCGGCAATGATTGCAGCAACGTTAGCTCGTAGCACATTCTCCTCATGCTGTATGCATGCTTTCAAACTGGCAGCGTCGTAGAGCGGGGAAGTTTGTTCCTCACGAACCCTCATCAGGTTTGCTCTGATGACATCGTGCACTTGAATTCCAATAAACCGGGTGTAATTCCACAACTGCGCCATGACGGGAAAGAGGCAGATGCTGAATGTGTTTCCACAGTAATGAACTGAAGGTACATCAAGATGAACCCTTGTTGGATGCCAGGCTGCAGGTAAAAGAGCCTTGATATCCTCTAGCTCTTGACTGAGATTTCTCGCGCGGTTGATTGTTTCCACGGGATCTCGGCTCTTGTCTTGACCAAGTTTGACGACTTCGTCCATGACGTGCAGAATGCCGATCATGAATTTCTTTACAAGCTCGTTGAATCCTGATTCCAGGGGGATGCTGTCGTACAGCTCTTGCAAATGTTCTAGATATTGGTGTGCGATGTCAGTTCGTGTATTACATGCAGTCCGCACAGGGTTGTGACTAACTTGGAATACCCGTCCCTAGTTCAAGCGTGAAGAATAGAGCGACGCCGTATGACTGCTGGAATATTCGCCGTCCGAGTTCTGTCTCGAACTGCGACTTGCCGCGTAACATGAAGAGGGTGTAAGCACCGCTGACGTGTTTTGACCACCTATCGATGGAGCTCTTATCCGTGTATACCGTGCCCTCGTACATGCCAAGTAGGATGACCGAAACCAAAGTGCTATCTTTGACCGCGGCTTCGTGCGACATGAGCGCTCTGTTTGTTTCCTCTAATGCAGAACCGTATGCGACACGCGCTTTTCGCATGACGGCAGGGGACTTCGCTGCATTGGCGAAGATTGCTAGACTTAGGGCGCGGAAGCTCTCACGAAGCGTACCCTCGATATTCGGCCGTGACAGCAGCTGGGGAATCCATTCGAATTGGCCTCCTTGAGGGAAATCGGCGGCGCCTGCATAGTTGGTGAGGAAGAAGCCTTGCGCTTGGGCGTCGATATTCGGCGTGGGTTGCAAGGCCATGATCTCAGCCTTGGGCGGACTCTGCACCGGATAGATCCGCTGCACGCTTCTGATCCTGTTGGGTTCTCCACGTCCCAAAGGCGTTCTTGGTTCTTTTGATTTGGCAAGCTCTTCGTAACGTTGCTCCGCCTTCTTTGCCACGACGCGACTCTCATTCTTGAACATTAGGGAAGCCACGTCGCGGTATCCATGGCATTCTTTGCCGGCACGGAGACATTGCGAGCAGGAAGGCCGCTTCTGGTCACACTGGAACAGCGGATTAGTGGACCAAGTATCTACTCACGCGTGCATTACATACTTTGATCCTGCGGTCCCTACATGTCTTGCAACCTGGAGAAGGTCTGCCAACATTGGGCATTTCGAGAAATGATGACTAATTGCCCGGTGGTGATACGACGCAGTCCGGACCCGCACTGCTAAGTTCTCACCTACATCGATGATGGGAAGAAGGGAACGCCACGTTTGTGTTTGGGGAAAGTAAGCGAGCAGCAAGGAATGCAAGAACCGCTCCCGGGCCTATGTACCCCACTATTGAATCGTGACTAGGCCGGACCGCAAATGGGCAATTGTGGCGAGCCCCCCTTGCTTTAATTTCACAGTAGACTCAACAATCGCACGTCGCTTGCTGCCGCACCAAAGCTTGAGGCCGCGTAAGATCACAGCACACTAGCATCTGCAGAAACATATTCTATTACGATGAAAGATGCATCCTCTATTTACGACAAGTCGATAATTCGTCACACATAATATTTACAAATCATAAAGCCTCCGTGGCGGATCTCACAGCTCAAATAGCATCCCTAGAGTTGACCTGCTCAAGATGGGCCGAGACACCCTTTTTCTCGGTATAATCGCTCTCGGTATCACTGGAATGGAAGCTGTCAACGACCGTGCTGCTAAACTTCCTAGCCGGGACACGCTTCTCGAAGAGGATATCGAGCTCTCCGTAAGTCCTGCCCTTTGGCTCAGGAAGACGGAAGAACGCCCAGATAAAGCAGCAAAAGCACGTTCCGGCGTAGAACAGACCACTCTTTGCGCCCCAATTCCAAGCACCGGGGTTGAGCATACGTGGAGTAATAACATTGCCGATGATAGAACCGATGTTGTAGAAGTTCCTGGCCAAGACGACAGTCTTTTGGCGAAGACGAGTGGATGGAATCTCTGCGACGATGGAGTAACAGACAGGTCCGACCGTGCAGTTGTATGCGGCTGCAAAAAGTAGGAGCATGGCGCCGATACCCCACTGCGCGCCAACGTTGCCGGCTGGAATGAAACCGAGACCTCCGATGATACACAACAACATAACCATGACGAGATCGCCATACACGTACAATGTGCGACGTCCTACACGTTGAATGAGGATCCAGGCCATGAAGACACCTACGCCACCAATTGCGTATTGTCCTAGACTCATGGAGAACGCATCCGCGTCGCTAAGGCCTGCTTGCTGGAAAAAGTATGTCGAATAACCGATAAGACCTGCTCCGCAGAAGGCCTGCGTAAACCATGCCATGGCGGCGATTTCAGTTCGGCGGAGATCTGTACCCTTGAAACAGTCCAAGTACGAAGTACCTTCAGAGACCGCCATCTCCATGGCGTTGGTGTGGCGCATCATAGCAATGGTCTCATCGGCATTGAAGTCGGGCAGCTTTTCGGGTGATGTGAGGCGCATCAACATCTTCTTTGCTTCTTCGCATCGGTCTTTCCGTACAAGCCACCAGGGAGATTCAGGTGCGAACGAGATGCCGATCATCAACGGGAGAGGCCAGAGCCACTGCAGGGCGTATGGGATGCGGTATGCCCATTGGTCGGGGCGCTCGGCTACACCCTTCAAAACGCCAGAGGCGAGGAATTGACCGATGACCCAGCAGAGGTTGACGTATGTTGTAAGAATTGGTCGAAGTGGCACCGGTACGACTTCGGCGGCATAGGTGCAAGTCAGGGTCTGGAATACACCCCATGGGATACCGCACAGGATGAGACCGCATAGAAGCATGGTGATGTTCTGCGCGAAGAAGACGATGAAGATGAAGAAATTCACCGCGAAGAGCGCGCCGATCATTGTCTTCTTGTAGCCGAAACGATCCGCGATGAGACCGTTCAGGAGCAGACCTGTGAACTCTCCAACGTATGCACCGTTTGTGAGGCCCGCTTGCCACGCAGCGGTGAGTTCGAAGGTGCCATCTGCAAGTTGTTCGCCGAACTTTTGCTTGAAGGCAGGAACCGCCATCAGGTTGGCGATCAAGACCTTGTCGAAGCCTTCCATGATGATGGCTGCGGAGAGCAGGACGGACCAGGCGATGGCCTTTGGGTATAACTTGATACCCTGGCGCAGGGTCATCTGCTGCTCCGATCGAGTCGCGTTGCCGGCATCGTGGGCGACTTGTTTGATGTCCGTGACGGCGAGTGAAAGGCGGCGAGCCTGTTCGGCGTCGATAGCGACGACACTGCTGTTGCGGCGAGACATGATGGTCGTGTCCGAGGATGAGACGATGTCCAGGTGGCTTGACAAATGTGGGTATGCCCAAAGGATGAAGTAGGATGATGTGGGTCAGACCCAGACCTCTCCTGAACGTGGAGCTGGTGGGACTCGAAGCTGGATGGTGATCTCTCCTGGTGGATACCGTCGTTCTACTTATACAACTTCACGACCCCAGACACGCGATACCCATGCATAGACAGAGCTCGTGCCAAGTCAGAAACCGGGGATGGTGGAGGCAGTCAAGGGATGCGGGGAGGACGCCACTCTTGCAGCTGTGAGGCCATCTTCATCGCGCAGCACTATGGCTTGAAAGGCTAGGCTGTTGCTGGTGAGGCCCGCCGACACGGGTGTGCCATCGAAAACTCGGAGCAGGAGTGAAGGTCGTGATTCGACAAGATGCCGGACCGAGATTTCAAGGTTGCGTGCACGAGCCCCGAAAGCCGAAGCGACCATCACGTGTGGCACGGAAATGCGACTGAGCGTTCCCACTAACGCGGTTTGCCTTTTATCTCGGACCGAGAGCATGAATCGATAGCCTGTCGCGCCCACCATCTCCCCGCATACATCCTCGCTTAAATCCCGCAATATCGGACACGCGGGAAAGAACGTTGAAACACCATGCGATGGAAGACATCTGTGGGGAAGACTGTTGCTGGGTTGTGTGGGGATCGCCATGTGTAGACACGATCCGGCTTTGAGCCAATCGTTATTGTACCGAGAAACTTTCCGGTGGGGGGAACCTCCACGTGCGGTCCAAACACAGTGACCAGATCTCAACGACTACCCTCCATCTGATAAGATCCTATTGCAAGACGCTTATAAGAAAGCCACTGGTGCCATTGCAAGCCACCAAAGAAACGCTTGCCCTCATTGACGCTGCGTACCATCTCTACCCACCATACCTAGGTAATCAAAATTACCCCAAAGAGCACGGGGATCCAGCAGCAACACAATGACCATTCCTCAAAGACCCTGGTGGAAAGATGGTGTTGTATACCAGATCTACCCCGCTTCTTTCAAAGACTCCAACGGCGACGGCATTGGTGACCTCAATGGCATCATTTCAGAGCTGGACTACATCCGCTCCATTGGTGTTGACGTCATCTGGATCTGTCCCATGTACGATTCACCCCAAGTAGACAGTAAGCATTACCTCTATACGAATTACGCGTGGGATGTATATTGACCCCTTACTCCAACAGTGGGATACGACATCCGTGACTATGAGGATGTGTACAGGCCGTATGGTACTGTCCAAGACATGGAGAAGCTGATCGCCGAGACACATTCGCGAGGCATGAAGATTATACTGGATTTGGTAGTCAACCATACATCTGACCAGGTAAGTCTTGAAGGTGCAGCTCGGCACAACCCTGCAAAACTGACTTCTCAAAGCACAAATGGTTCTTAGAATCACGATCATCGAAAGACAACCCCAAGAGAGACTGGTACATCTGGAGACCAGCTCGTTATGTTGACGGCGAGCGCAAAGCTCCCAACAACTGGGTCGGCAACTTTACAGGTAGTGTGTGGGAGTGGGATGAGCATACCCAGGAATACTATCTGCATCTCTTTTGCCCCGAGCAACCTGACCTCAACTGGGAAAACCCCGAAACGCGACAAGCCATCTACAAATCCGCCATGGAGTTTTGGCTACAGCGCGGAGTCGATGGATTCCGCGTTGATACCGTCAACATGTACAGCAAAGGTGAAATGCTTGACGCACCGATCACCGATCCTGGTTCGGAATGGCAGTTTGCTGGATACCAGTACTGCAACGGCCCAAGGATGGCCGAATTCCTGAACGAGATGAACCAAATCTTGGAGAAGTACGATGCTATGACCGTCGGCGAGTGCCCCCACACACCAGACATGAAGAGAGTGTTGGAATATGTTAGTGCTAAAGAGAAGCAACTGAACATGGTCTTCCAATTCGTGAGCAAGCCCGAAAAAGCGCAAAAACAAGAGATCGGCAGTACTAACTAAAAGCACAGGATGTCGTCGACGTTGGCCAAGGCCCCTACAAATTCCAAACTACACCGAAGAACTGGACACTCCCACAGTTCAAACGTGCCATGGCCCGCACGCAAGACCTCATTCGCGCCCCCTCAGATGGCTGGACTACCGTCTTCCTCGAGAACCACGACCAAAGTCGATCAATCACACGCTTTACTTCCGATGCGCCCGAGCACCGCGTCGCAGGCGGTAAGATGCTCGCGTTGATGATGGCAGCACTCAGCGGCACATTGTTCATCTACCAGGGCCAAGAAATTGGCATGACGAACTTCCCTCTGACCTGGGATATGAGCGAGTACAAGGACGTGGACTCGACAAACTACTACAAGATGGTAGCTGCGCGGACAAAAGACGACCCCAAGGCTCTTGAAGATGCGCATAAGTCGCTTCAGCATCTCGCTAGAGACCATGCTCGTGTGCCGATGAGCTGGTCGACCGCAACGCACAACGGCTTCTCGCCGCCTGACGCTACCGCGGAACCGTGGATGCGACCTCTTGAGGACGCAAAGGTCTGCAATGTTGCGCAACAAAAAGGCGATAAAGATTCCGTGCTCGCTTTCTGGAAGCGCATGCTGCAAGTACGCAAGCAACACAACGATCTCCTTGTGCATGGCCAGTACGACGATCTAGATGTGGAGAGCCCAGACTTCTTTGTCTTCAGCAAGACATGGAATGAGAAGAGGGCTGTGTGCATTTGCAACTTCACGGACCAGAAGAAGGATCTGGCCTTCCCAGAAAGTGTGAAGAGCGAGAAGATGGAACTGCTTGTAAGCAGCGTGGATAACTGTGAGGAGAAGAAACTGGCTGCTTTTGAAGGCAGGATCTATTTACTTGCGTAGATAGTGTCGCATGAACAAAAT